TAAAGCGCTAATCTCACTCCCGATACTATTCACCTCAACACCCATCATTTTACATTTTGAAACCAAGATGGCCGCCTGCTATAGTAAGTGCTTTATCGTGACTAAACAATTGCTGGAAAATGTCGGAAAAAATTCACCTACATTTACAAAGTTATTCCTCGCGAAGCGACGGCGGAAGGCCTTCCGCGCGAACCGAGATTTAGAAATTTTACGCGTGTGACTCCCACGAGGATCGCTAATCGACGTGTGACCTTGTATATTTCTCTCTTTTTCTATCAGTAGTACGTCCGCAGCGTAGCAACAAGGTAGAGAAGCCGCTACAAACCCGGCCCGATTGTTTTAGCGGCAGGAGATAGGCAAGGGGCAAGGCGAAGCGATAAAACAAAAACAACTATTTTTTTCATCGCGAACTCTTTTTGTCTGTTTTTGTTATCTATGCAGATGACCTCTGCGTTGCCTTGCAGGTGTTATGAAAGGGGTTAGTGTTCCAAACGGCATGCCAAGAGAGCTTTTCACAGAGGAGATCTCCAAGCGGATTTGGATTCGGAATCAGACCACACAAATCCCAGAACTGCTTATCTACCAGTACACTGATTGGTCCAACGCCAGTGATCCTTATTTGCTACGACAGCAGTTTATGGACCTACACTCAGACTCCGTCTTCAAGGCTCCCGCGATACTGTCAGCGGATGCGTTCGTAAAGGAGGAGGTTCCAACGTATTTTTATCAGCTAGAAAAAGCACCCAAGGTTTTTCCCGCTATTCCGTTTCCATTGCCTCCCTGGTTTGGGGTTTATCATAGGGCAGATCTTTTGTACGTATTTGGAAGTCCGCTCATTATGGCCGCGAACCTTACAACTGCTGCTGAAATAGAACTTAGCAAGAGTATGATGAAGATGTGGACAAATTTTGCTAAAACAGGGTAAATTGAGCGCCCCTCTACCCCACCCACCACAGTTTTGTGTGCGAAGTCTAGAGGAACTTGCTTCCGGCTTCACGAATTTATTTGGGCCCGATGACGTTACCCTATTGCATTATAGCGCTAACATTTAGTGTANAGAGAAGCCGCTACAAACCCGGCCCGATTGTTTTAGCGGCAGGAGATAGGCAAGGGGCAAGGCGAAGCGATAAAACAAAAACAACTATTTTTTTCATCGCGAACTCTTTTTGTCTGTTTTTGTTATCTATGCAGATGACCTCTGCGTTGCCTTGCAGGTGTTATGAAAGGGGTTAGTGTTCCAAACGGCATGCCAAGAGAGCTTTTCACAGAGGAGATCTCCAAGCGGATTTGGATTCGGAATCAGACCACACAAATCCCAGAACTGCTTATCTACCAGTACACTGATTGGTCCAACGCCAGTGATCCTTATTTGCTACGACAGCAGTTTATGGACCTACACTCAGACTCCGTCTTCAAGGCTCCCGCGATACTGTCAGCGGATGCGTTCGTAAAGGAGGAGGTTCCAACGTATTTTTATCAGCTAGAAAAAGCACCCAAGGTTTTTCCCGCTATTCCGTTTCCATTGCCTCCCTGGTTTGGGGTTTATCATAGGGCAGATCTTTTGTACGTATTTGGAAGTCCGCTCATTATGGCCGCGAACCTTACAACTGCTGCTGAAATAGAACTTAGCAAGAGTATGATGAAGATGTGGACAAATTTTGCTAAAACAGGGTAAATTGAGCGCCCCTCTACCCCACCCACCACAGTTTTGTGTGCGAAGTCTAGAGGAACTTGCTTCCGGCTTCACGAATTTATTTGGGCCCGATGACGTTACCCTATTGCATTATAGCGCTAACATTTAGTGTAAGACCACTCTTGACGAGAGACCATCCAAAAAGTGTGTACCCTTTAAGTACCATACTGAGACGCTTGCCCACGCCCTATTTTTCCCTTGATAACATTTTCCTGTAATTTCTGTACAGTTTTCCTTAAGTGAAAACATTAATCGTCTTGAGGCTACCTTATTATATGAAGAAAGGTTCAGTCAAAATATTTGAAATTTTTGAACTACTTTGAGTTCGAAGTTTTTTGCATCCTGTGCCTATTAAGTTGTGGTGGTCATGACCTACCGATTCGCTTTCACCGAAGAGAGGGTGATATGTAAACGAGCGGACACTTTTCGTCGACGTGGCTAAAGAGGTTTGCACCACACTTTGAATAATCACCTGATATGTCAATGTTTTATCTTCATTTTTATCTAGAAATCCAAATAACCCGATACCACTTCGTCACTCTTGGCCACAGTACACCGCTGATCAGGGGCAATACCTTGCACTAAGGCCCAATATAACCGTCAAGATCAAAATGCGTCCAGAGAAGATGGCTCTTTGGAACACTTATCTTCCGAATATCAATCAGACAGTAGTGGAACAATTACCTGCAGAAACAACTTCGTTGCCCCCGCAACCCTGTACAATTAATACGTGTGGTCCTGGTAAGTGTAGTCTTAATAGTAGGGAACTTAAGCAACGACGACAGCAACGGCCACGAAAACGTCACTCAGGCTTAAAAAGTGAATTCGCGCTGCCTCAAACTTTATCGCCCTTATTCCATCTCGTTTAATTCGTCAAATGTTGGCAAATTTTTTTGGAGTTGAATTGTACTGAAAAGAATGTATCAAAGTTTAGGGAAAGAAAAAGAGTTGTAGTCGTGCAAAGACGGCAAAGAAATGTGTAAAAAGGCTTGATGCACGTGCAAAGTCGAAATTTTGTCAATCTAAACCTATTGGTTTATTGCCGTTCTCGTTGCCGTGGTCGTTGCGTAAGCTCGATCACGTCCCCTTGTGCGTGCAGCTCGCGCATGACTCCTCGCTATAACCGCAAATGCAGAGTGCCCAGGATGACATGCTCAAGTTTAGTCCTTAGTGTTTATATTACCATTTTAGGATAAATTTGTTCAAGGTAAATGTAGTCTGCGTGTAGCCTCTTGTTTTTCTTTATGGTTGGGAGGGGGTGGGGATGGGTGGCACGCTCGTCAAATGCTTGCGTATTAACCACTTTCTTCCCTGGCGCGTTTTGTTCAAAAGCGAGGATTTTGGTAGATCTAGGGGGAGTTATTTATCGTACACTAGTAATTTGTTTTTGATTAACTCGTATGCTAATGAGCCAATATGTAAACAATGGCATCAGCATAATGGACTCGTCTATACGGACAAATCAAAATGCTCTTTCACGAAAAAAACATAAAATCCTAAGTGGGTAAAATAGGCCCTCTTTGTCTGCTCGGGTAGCCAATCAGAAGACGGCATTCGTTTTATCTTCACACTTGCGGAACCAATAAAAAATAATACAGTCGAACCTGTTTTAAGCGGTCACCCTCGGGGAGTGGCTTAGTGACCGCTTAATACAGTGTGACCGCCTAATACAGGTTGCAAGAAATACAGCTCAAAGAAGTCGATCTCCAGTGCTGATCAGATCAGACGTTTGACCTCAAATAGAAACATTCATTTCTGGCGTTTTTATGATCTGCGAAAATAAACAAGGAAATCAGTTGTTGTACCTCGTGTGTTACATTATTTGAAACAGTATCAACAAGTAATTGACACCGCGTTACCGTTTAATACAGGTCAAGACAATAGAAAAAGTCCCGTTGGGACTTCGCAAATGGTGACCGTGACCGCGACCGCTTAATACAGGTGACCGCTTAATAGAGGTCGAAAGGGAAGTAATTTCCGGGACTTTAATTTGAAAACTGACCGCTTAATAGATAGAGGGTGACCGCTTAATACGGTGCCGCTTAATACAGTTTCGACTGTATTTACCTTTAGACTGCTTATCTAATCAAATACCGCTTTTCCTTAGTACTTAATTATCATTTTTTCCACAGATAATTGGCGGACAGTCCTAATCATCTTGACAGTACTGTTCTTCGTTCTAGCAGTTATCTTCCTAGTGTTATTCGTCGTAACATGGTGTGTGTGGAGGAGGCAAAGAGCAAACTATACGGACACAATCATCATGACTACAAATATGTAAACTGAACTGACACTGCTTTCATGGACCTCTCATTAAAGACGCCTGTGAAAACCACCCTCTGCTGCCAGCAAAGCCTTTCTCTCGCTTGTCATGATTTTTGAGTACTCGAGAAAGACTTTGCTTGAATCGAGTAAGATGTTTTTGAGCATGCGCTGAATGTTGCTGGGATACAGTTTCGAACCCAGGCCTTCTAATTGTCCGCCTGTTACAGTGATTTTGGTTATGACAATTTATTGATTGATCAATAAACGGATTTTCGCACTTGAAAAAACAGTTTGAAGAGAGAAAACAAGATTGACTAGAGCAGAAATTCAGGCTGTGGCGACTTCAAAGGCTTGACGCCATATTCTACCAGAGCCTCCTTTTCTGGTGTAACAAAAAATACAAACACAGAGTGCGATCTCGTGTTGTGTTTTTAAATCTAAGGTTATGAAAAATAATTAATTACAGCTTGTTACCTGTTATTCTACCGGCAAATCACCATAAAAGACCACTCTATTTCTGATCTATCATTTAAAACGGCCTGTTGATCATTGTTTCATGCTGTGACGTCATAGCAGGTAATACGTCTTTTGAAAATTAATTGTTTCAAATTAAAAAAAAAATCCTTTAGGGCAAAAAGAAAAGGAAAGNCAGTTTGAAGAGAGAAAACAAGATTGACTAGAGCAGAAATTCAGGCTGTGGCGACTTCAAAGGCTTGACGCCATATTCTACCAGAGCCTCCTTTTCTGGTGTAACAAAAAATACAAACACAGAGTGCGATCTCGTGTTGTGTTTTTAAATCTAAGGTTATGTAAAATAATTAATTACAGCTTATTACCTGTTGTTCTACCGGCAAATCACCATAAAAGACCACTCTATTCTGATCTATCATTTAAAACGGCTTGTTGATCATTGTTTCATGCTGTGACGTCATAGCAGGTAATACAGCTTTTGAAAATAAATCGTTTCAAATAAAAAAAAAATCCTTTAGGGCAAAAAGAAAAGGAAAGTAGACTGTAACGGTTACATGTCACGCTTTTTAAAATGGTCCTGTATAATTTCTGGATTATGGACGCATGTGTCAGTGTGTTGGTACTTTTTAGCGCAATTTACGGCGAAAGAATGCGAAGAAATGGACATGTTCAGTCGGCGAACGCTTCAAAGATCATGGAAGATACATCAACAGAAAGTGAAGGAATTTCATCGCTGGGAAATTCGAAGAAAAAAGCAACAGAACTGAGATTGCCTCTGTACTTACTGCTTAACTTTTCTTATTTTGCTTCCATGGGGCTGACTGTTGTCGTTCTACAATATTACCCTTCGGTTATGATCATTTTGCAACACTTCGCCGTATTCAGCTTTATAATAATCGCCTTCGCCCAGTGGCTCCCTTTAAAGATGGGATACCTGGTCGGAACTATTTTCGGCGTCCTTTGGCTACTTTCAGTACAAACTGAATTCCGCTGGATTTTCAACAACTTGATCATTGCTATGTTTGCATTTCTGGCTAGTCACGTCCAATTCCGGAATTTCGCCTTTTTGCAAATCTTTCTTTGGACAGCGCTGGTGTATGATGTCTGCCTTCTCGCTCGGATGAACGATTCTCCTCAGGTCTTGAGCGTTGGTGAATGTGGCAATCTACTGTGCCAGTTATTCGAAATGAACAGCTCATGGGAACTGCCCTCTGTGTTCACCGTTCGCTTCGGTGAAAATCAAACTCATGTTTTTCTGGGAACAGGTGACATTATAATAGGATCTATCGTGGCTAATTTCGCCATGTCGTTCTTCAAGTCGGCTAGATGCCTACTTGGAGTGGTAGCCAGTTATGCGATAGCTATTGCGATGTTGAGTCAAGTAGAGGACGACCGCCCGTATCCTGCGCTGATTTCGATTGTCCCGATGTGCTCTTTTTCTCTTGTTGGTTGTGCGATTGCTTGCAGGAAAACAAAACGGTTATTCTCCATGTCTAACAAAGAGAACAGTGAACTTCGCGAGGACGACTTCCTAATAATTTGATAATCACGATAATTTATGGTAAATTTTTCTCATTTTCTTTTCCGGCGACGGTTTGAAATGAACAATGGACTGGCTTTCATTGAACAGCAACCTAACGTTTTCGCCCAAAGGTTGATTGGTTTGTTTTCCAAACCTTTCGGATGAGTACCTGAGAAAGGTTTGTCTTATTTTTCGAAGATATCGCACACAATAATTTTCTGAATCTATTTGAATTGCACTTGTATCACAGTCTTGCACGCATTTTAAGTCTCAGTGAACAATATTAATTGTATTTACATTGTGGCAGGGCATATCCTTTTTAATTTTCACTAAACGGCTAAGTTGCAGTGTCTTTCAAGTATATGCTTCAGTTTTTAAGGATCAGAAAGAAACTTTGTAATGCTAAGGTACCGATTTTCAATTTTTTAAAAAAATAAAAACATCATAAAGGTTCTCACTTTTTGTTATTAAGATGATTATTTTTTAACTTTATCTGATTAGCAACTCTTTTGTTGAACCCAGCCATTAAAATTAAATGTGAAAATCAAATTAACTTGGTTCAGCCTTAGTTAGGATATTCTATTCACTGATATCAAATCGACAAAAAATATCCGGGTGGTTATTGAGGCCTCTGTTTAATTTTCATCCGCAGGTTTTGAATGAATTGGCTTTCCTACCTGCCGATGCTAATTTACTTAACCTGCGAATACATAGAAGATATTATATGCCCGCGTTGGAGATATGAAATTTCTCTTCTCGCGTTGAAAAAATATTTAATTTTTATAAAATATTTTTTCAACACGAGAAGAGTAATCTCGTATCTCCAACTCGGCCATGTAATATCCTCTATTTCCCCTCGCGGCTGAATTCGCAGGCTATAATTAACTTAAAGGTCGCAATGGAACCGTGGCTTCAACGGTAGCATGACAGAAAGTTCACTAATCGTTTTTGTCATGGCAATCTAAGAATTCACAATATTTTATGCGCTACTTCTCGAGCTCTATCTCCCATAATTGTTTGCCCCTCAAACATCCTCTTCCAGGTTCGGAAGACTGTAATATCAGCTGTAATATATCCAGATTGATTAAAAAACAAACAAAGAAACAAACAAAGGTTATGCAACAGTTTGGGAGCGTAAACAAGGTGTATTATAATAAAATGAGACCTTACTTTTGACACTAATACCACTCCATCCATGAGGTGTACAAGGGGCGAAGTACTTTTTGTGTAAAATGCATTTGTCCATCCCAGTCCCTACTCCCTTTCGGTTGAGATGGATGAGTTGGACTGGTAATAAACAATGCAAGCAAGATGGCGTCGGCGTGGTTTCTATGAGCTTTTGAACTTTGTTTACAGCCAATGATTCGTTATTCTCCGGTTCACAAGCAATTTCTTAATTGCTTTCATCGTTTTCAATTTTTTAGAAGGCTACTCTTACGGATGGGGCTTTTGAAAAGAGTTTTTCTAGCTGTGAAACCTCGGAATAATTTTTTCCAAGACGATGTTCTAAGAGTGTCTTCAATGCTAACAGATCTGTAAAAAATTCTTGATATCTCTGGGTCATGGATAAATTTCACCGCAACAAAACGGCAATTCGGATAAAAGTCATCAGCATGGGTAATGCTGAAACAGGAAAGGTAGAGTACAAACATGATTTCTTTCGTAATTTGTCAGTTTTATGAACCATTTCATTTGCCTGCATAAGTTAACTTTGATTTTTTAAATTTTTGAATACTGCACACCGGTTTTTGCATTGTTCCCATTTACTGGGAGCTCTTGTTTCCAATTTCTCCCCGAAAACATTTAAATATTGGGACTTAAGATATAGGGTATTGTGTTAAGGTCACTTTGAAAAAATGTGACAACTACATCATTGTACATTTCAATCGTCCCACACATGTACTGCAGTTATCTGCCTCTTGGAAACAAACCGCTGTTTTTGTGAATATGTTGTGGTTCAATTTTATCCTTGGTTTAATCTGAAATTTTTCTTTTGTTTCAAACAAATTATCATATTATATTACCATTCCTATAAACAAAAGGAAATAAAATTTAAACCAAGATTAAAATTTAGCCTGCGTAGCAGTTGTCAAAAGGGGTAGGGGATAGGGAGGAAGAGAAAAAGGAAGGGGGACTGGGGAGAGAGGGTAAAGGACGCCTGCTATAAGAACCCCCTTTTGTTCAAATTCCTGATTGGCTAAGCTCTGATGAGTAACTTATTGGCGTGTATCCTGGCGTGCATTAGTGAGAGACAAACATGGTGAAGGCATCAAGGAAATGTGTTCTACTGGCATCACTTTTGGAAGATCAAAATTACTCCAATCATGTAGCAACTTAACGTTAAAACTCGAACTGGGACCAACTGTAATAGCTTATTTTAGCAGGCAGAGATGCTCAGGAGGTTTTGTATACTGGATTTGTCCAAACACTGAGCAGTGATTCAAAGCGATTGCAATTCTTGCCTGACATCTGCAATGCCGATATTCACAAGACCGCCTTTTCCACAAAAACATAAACCGTCTTGAATGAACTTCTAAATGGTTTGTAAAGAGAGGGCTGAAGCTTTGTTAAAAAACCATCCATTGAGCTTTTTTGACAATTGTTTATAATTCTCGTTTCATTATTCGCATCTCACGCTACCAGTGACTGTTCTGTTCTTTGTGACCATTATGTTTGATGAGGTAAGACCAAAGGTCTTGTGTATTCACACGAAACTGATCATTGTTTGTCGTAGAGTTCAAGCAGTAAAGAAAGAGAGAGACTGCTCTTAGTCTATAATGTTTATCGTGTTTGCTTCGAGAGCAAGAACAGTAGAACTAACAGTAAAGATGTCTTATTTCGCTCGATTGTGATATCACTTGAAAAAAGCATCTCGACTTGACAATTTCCGGTAAACAAAGTAATTAAGTTCGTACCATGCTGAGAAGTGCCCTACTCATGATTGGTCACGTATTGACAGTTGACTTTATCGGATTAGTTTAGAAAATGGTGGGTGGAATACAAAAACACCGGCTCTTATAGCAGGCGCTCCCTTCCCTTTTCTTCTCTTTTGCTCTTTTCTCCCTCTCCCCTTCCTCTCCCCTTTTTGTGTCTGCCATGCAGGCCAGTTAAAATTGAACCACAAGAAATACATCTCAGGTAACTGTTTGTTACATTTCTGCTCATTTTGTTCTTTGATTGATTTGTTTTAATAGTAGTTTTGTTTTCCTTTAAATTTTACTTCAAACATCAAGTCGTTTGGTGCGAGACTGCACAGTTCAATGTGGAGAATGAACACAGGACCAAGTGGGCAATCCAGGGGAGACAAGAAAGGCCCATCTGTCCCACACAGGTGTTCAATCAGAACACAGGGTTTATTTCATCTTGCTTGCTCTCTGAGCCAACCGAGTGTGACAGTCCAATTTTTTTCACTGACAGGTCAATGTTTTATTTAGTCTACGTTTGTCTAATTCTGTTTTTACAGAGTTGCATCATTAAGCGATATTGTGAAAAGCGATTTGTGAGCAAGTATATGACAACTATAGGGATTGACTATGGAGTTACAAAGTAAGTTAAAAACATTATATAGCTGGAGTGCAACATAATATTACTTTTGAGTTTTGTTTGTGTACATGAACTAAGCTGAACAACACTTCAATTCAGCATTCATATTACTGATGTACTTTTCATCTAATGGTCATTTCATAAAGTGGTATGCATTTGCCAGAAATAAAATGACATACTGTCTAAAACACATTTAATTCACGCAAAACAACCTTTTTCTCAGTAATGTTCCGCGATTTTTTTTTTAAAAAAAGTAAAGCGTTCTTATCCAGAAGTTTGTCAAAAGGAAAAACTCTAGTGAATCTGTAAATTTTCTTTCCTGAACTATAGTTTCAAGGTTTTATTTTCAAAGTGATGCCCCTTCAAAAGTACTAGCAAAAGAAATAAAAAATGTAGCTGCCACATTAACTGTTTGTCCATTGTATTTATAGGCTAATTTAAAATTAGGCACACATGCATAATGTACAGATTGCACATGTGCATCTAAAAATACTCATAAGTAATTACATTATACTTAAATCTTGTTGATTCCATTCAAGAGTTGTGTTACAGCATTACATGCCCAAATTGGTGAAGTTTACTAAAGCTGTGTGTGGACAAGATGGGGGGAGGGGGGGGGGGTGAATTTGCTTATTTTATTTGTAATACCACCTCAAATTTTCTACGTCTGGAATCAGTTACCCTTTTTTTAGTATATAAATAGTTCCTGAACACAACGACTTTAAAGTATTTAAATAAAATTGTTCCCTTTAGGGTTTCAGTAAATGGCAAAGAAGTTAAAGTAAATATATTTGACATGGCTGGTCATCCAGTATTTTATGAGGTACAGTACTAATGCTCTATTTTAAGAAAATGTTCTGAAAAATAAAGGTTCTTTTTTCTGTCCATCCCTGTTTTAAATACACATAATAACTTAAGTTTATTTCGAAAATGGCTGCAAAAGTGGCCTCTAGAGGTGCATGAATCCTGAGTTATTGGGTAGCCACTATTCTAATTGACTTCCTGGGAGGATCATGTTCACTTTCATATCTTTATCCTCAGTTCAAAATATAATTCATTTCATATAAATTATGAATTAAAATAGTTGAGGAAGTGAGGTAACTACCAAAGAGAGGAGCTGACATTTTACGTGCAACATTATTTAATGTTTTCTTATTTATAACTAAGGTACGCAATGAATTCTACAAGGACACTCAAGGAGCCATGTTGGTTTATGATGTTGGAAACCGTGAAAGCTTTGAAGCACTGGACAGCTGGCTGGAAGAAATCAAGAAAGATATCGGTAGTGCAGCTGACCTAGAAGGGGTAGTTTTTGCTGTCTGTGCCAACAAGGTACGAAGCAGGAGAGAAACAATTTAATACTGTCACTTGTAACAATTGCAAAGAAATTAATTAGTCTTAGAGTCGAGCTTGCAATAAGTTAAAGACTTGAAACTTATCAAGGGATAACTTCAAAAAACACATAACCTTGATGGGTGGACACCTGAGCCTACGATATGGTCATGCAATACTGATCAGCGGATACCTTGTTTTGACATCTGTCAATTAGTTCAGGTTTCTGGATCCCACACTAGCTAGAAAGTGTTGGATTTTACGTCGGTTTCCCTGAGGTGCGGGTGGATGGTAGGACTGACGTATGGTCATGTGACTACCAAAATTTCTTGGATAGATACTTTTTTAGATAACCAAATTTTCCTAGCTATGGGGCTCCGCTTGTGGAGCTTCGCTGTTACAGTAACTTTTTAAACCGCAAGGGCTTACAGTCAACTGAGTGGCACTAAGGTTTCACCTTTCGCATCCAGAATCAAGAGTGGTTAAGGAAAGATTTGATTTTTGCAGTTTGGGTTGGCATGCATAACCATCAAACCATGTTGATTTGGAGACTGAACATGTAAATTGCTCTATCAATAAAGTGGACTTACTTTCACTGGTTCTCTAGCGTGCTTCTATGATGTTTGGTGCACAGATTAGATATGAACAAATAGCAAAAGACAGAAACAAAGGCAATATGCCACTTTAGGAACAAGAACAGGAACAAGCAGCAGGATAAGCTCAGTTGGTAGAGCGCTTGACTGTAGAGCAGTAGGTCGCGGGTTTGATTCCCAGGCCCGGACCAATACTCTGGGTCTTAAAGTAACTGAGCAATGGAGGTATGGCCTTTGTGCTGCAAGCAGCTGGACCTTTGCGTGGCTCAGATAACCACGTAAAGTAGCGGTCCCGTCTCCAGTAGGAGACGTAAAAATGGTGTGCCCAGTTAGTACTTCTATGCTAAATACATTGACACTCAAATAAAGTGCATTTTTTTTAACCTCAGAAGGGAACTGGAGCCATAATATGCATGTCTTCTAATTGTTTTTGGGATTGTGACTGGGAAGGTGTACCGGTCAGCTATTGACTATTGGTAAAATCCAACTAGTGGTCTATTATCAATGCTGTGTTCTGATTGGTTGAGCTACTACTAGGCTATGTGTTATAGCCCACTAGTAGCGAAAAGTGTGGGCTTTTTGGCGGCAAAAAAGGATTAAAGTCTAGCTTTAACTAGCTAAAAGTTTTTTATTCTTGACATTTTTGACCAACTAGTTGGATTTTACTAAAACAATTATTATTCCTCTCGCCCTCATGGCCTCTGAGTCAATAGCCTTCGGCCTCATGGGCTATTGGCTCAGAGCCCATTCAGGCTCAAGGAATGAATTGTTAAATATTTCTTCCCTGTCCCTAGTGTTAAACAGTCCGAGAAATCTTTGCTAAAGTTTACTCGACACAGTTTCCTCTCGTTCCAAACTGGCAATTTCAAATTGCATGTAATTAGACTTCAAGTAGTCCCCATTTTCCCTCAGAGATAGTAGAGTGAATGAAATGCAAGAGCATGTGAAAATTACCCTGCGTGAGAAGGGCGAGACGCGGTGGGGAGAGAGAGTTATACACTGTTAAAGCAAAGCATTAGGTCCAAAGCTTGGGCTTTGTCTGTAGTCCTTCATTTTTCTCTCTCCCAGCTGCATCTGGCCTTTCTTGGTTGGGGTGGCGTTTTGCTCACTCTACTATCCCTGAGGGAAAATGGGGACTGCTGTGATCATGAATGTAACAAACTGAAATGGCTGAATTGTTGGTAGGTTACTTAGCATTATGATGGCAATTTAATTTCTTGTTTTCTGTCTGTCTTGTCTTTCTTCTTTGAAACTCTTCCTTGTTATCTGAGCTGTTCACAATCTAACGCACACTTTGTACTGCAACCTGTAGGTGGACAGCCGCAAAAGAGTAGTGGAGGAGGCGGAGGGGCAGCTTTGGGCAAACAGCCATGGATTTTATTATTTTGAGACATCTGCCCAGACAGGGGAGGGAATTAATGATATGTTTCAAGTAAGTTCTGAGTAAATACAGCTTTTATATTTATTTAATTATTGTTTGTAAAGTCTACCAGATTTGTATCACGTTTCCAAAATAACAAAATAACTGTCTGAAGCATGTGATAATTTTTCTGTCTCTTTTGCAACTCATCCAAAATTCTCTTGCTTCTACTTGTATTCATCCCATCCCCTTACCACCTACTATCCCAGCCAGTTGTACTTTCTAGACCAACTGTGATATAAATAGCATCTCACCTGTGGCTGACTGATAGGTCAACAGAGTTCAAGAATTAAAATCTGTAATCAATAATAATCAATAATCTTTATTATGCTTATGTCAATGTACATGGTTAATATAATTTTACACTCGAGGATCTGAGTAAAAAAAAAAATTAATATGCAGTTTCAAAAATGTCCCGATCATTCGTGTTAACGGGGACTTAGTTGGTCTGTGTTTTGAATAAAGGAAAAGAAACTTGTTTAAAATCCAGGGAATGTTAAATAATAATAATAATAATAATAATAATAATAATAATAATAATAATAATAATAGTAATAATAATAATAATAAAACAAAACAAAACAAAAGAAAATCTGTGGCTATTGTACAATTATACATCTCTTTTGCTTCTGTTCCATAGACCTTGTTCAAAGCAGTGCTGACAGCAATAGAGAATGGAGGTAAACCAGTACAGCTAAATGCTTCAACTAATGTGGGTTATACTAAGGAACAAGCTGAGGCCATTCAGAGACTGAAAACAGCTAAAGATAATTATGAGAGACTGGGGCTACCGACTGGGGCGAGCAGGTAAGGAAAAACTACTAATATTACATGTATTTCAGGCAAGTACCTCCACGATTAGCTAAAACAGTAGACTTCAAAAGCCTGGAATATCCTTAACATCAAACCCTTAAACAATATTTTAAAGATATTTATGAGCAAATTTCATGATTAGTTTGTGTTCACCCGGATTATTCATCGGTTATTAGTCCAGAAGATTCATAAGAACATCAACAATTTATGTAATCTCATCTCGCTTGTGTACAAAATTGTGCTGAACTGACACAAAATACAAAAACCTCGTGCTCTTGGGCGAAAATGCGCATGCACAAAAAGTGCCACAGGACCATTAAGGTTCTTCGCAACAGTTTGCATTGATACGATACAGTCGAACCTCCTTGGCTACCTCCTCTCGTAAGAGATCTCCTATACAAAACTCAGCTCACGTATCCTTGTTCTGGGTCTCCAACGGATTCAACGAGTTACTGGAATTCGTTGGGTATTTCCCTTGAACTGAACCTGATTGGCAAATTGACCATACCTTTTTTAACAGGCAAGATGACCATGGCGGGTACCCAAATCCTGGTACACAACCAACACCACCACCTTCCAGGGTGATGGTGTAATAATTTTCTATTCTTCTTAACCTCTTGTTAGGGACCACTTTACCATGGTCTGATCTCTATGTTCCCATCACTCTCCGCTGCAGAAGCCCCCGCAGGGTATCCCAGTAAAAATAGTAATAATCGAAAAATAGGCAATCGTGCGGGGGACGATGGGAACAAGAAAGGCTATTAAAGACAGCCACAAATAAACAGTGCGGTCACATTTTAGAGCACTGAGCGCGAGTTTACATTTGCCTTTTCAGGGAGGACATTAACCGTGCTTATCGCAGGTTAGCTGTGTTGATACACCCTGATAAAAGTCTGGCACCCGGCACAGAAGAAGCGTTCAAAGCACTGGTGAATGCTCGCGCAGCCCTTTTACAGACTCACAGATAACACCAGCAGTGTCTGAGAACATATATGTATTTATTTTGCTGTCGCACCCGACTCATCCTCAGTTTTCTCCTAAGATTTCTATATTGGAGTCTTTAAGACGAGGAGGACGTGATTTGACTTAGTGTTTTCGCGTCTTCTCAAAAAAACAGACAGTAAAGCTTAGTTGTAGCTTTTTCTCTAGAAAGTTAGCCCTCTCCAGATGGCAAAATGATAAAGCGTCTAACATCTGATAAGCTGTTTCGGCCGCTACAACATCAAAACCGTATTCATAGAATGTCGACTGCTATCGCTTTTCCTCGCCAAACTGGCCCTGGTTCTCACGCGCGCCACGAAGTATTGAGTCAATTTCGTCATCTTAGCCCTCGTCTAAAGAGTCTAAAGCTCCCTATACTTGGAGAAGACCTGCACAGTAGCTCAACGGAGAGACCGACGAGAGGGAAGCAGAGAAAGGGCATCCCCTGCTTTCATACATTGTATACGCGCTACCCACGTTAGTATTTTAACGAGACGATGAGTAGGAGAAGGGGTGTGGATGAGTGAGCTGTAAAGCAGATTTTAACTGACTTTCAAAAAACCAAACCAAAACCAGTGTGAATACCTTACGTTAACAATCTGCAGCTACAAGGGGTATAAACGCAAGCTGGATCAAGCGTGGGAAGATACCTGTGAATAAGTTACAATTTGTTTTGATTTTCCTCTAATTGGGTGTAAAAGTGAATTACTTTGCCCAATCAAAGTAGACGCAGGTAATCAAATGAACCAAACACGAGTAGACCAGGGGGCGACCTTGCTCCTAGTCTCTCCTCGTCGTTTCGGGGACGGGTATGAGAGAGCCTTGGGAACGAGCTTGAAATGAAAGTAGCCTTCGTAAAGTAGTTATTATAATTTTGATTCTACATCTTCCTTTATGGATGTATTTTAACTGTACATAATGTGGATACTTTTGTTACGTATAAAGTTTACAACTTGTAAAACTGTATTTTAAAAGATTTTTTATTCTTTATATTTTGCATTTCGTTTTCATAATTATAAGTTGTTATATTAAATGGGCTTTGCAGTGGCTGCATTTGTATTTAAAGTATTCGCCACCGTTAATAAATAGCTACATTCAAAAATAGCTGGGAACGAAAATGTATTGCCTGCACGATGCCTTAGTGTTCCGGGTTAGTGTGAACAATCGAAAACGGTGTGTTTGCTGTGGATGTTGTGATTTTGATGCGTGAACGAATTCGAAAAGTGATTTTTTTGCTCATTGGCGGGGCCGAAATGCAATTTTTGAAGAATGAGTTTCATGGTGTACTGAGTAAGACAGGCTAAAAGTTACTTAAGATTCAGTCTGCAATAGGCAGTCTTGCTTTTGTTGTTAGCCCATATCCACTTGGCTGCCGTTGCGATACCATTTATTGTATTCCAAGGATTGTAGCCATGGTTTACAATAACGTTTGCAGAATGCCAGCCCTGGTCATCAAAATCCGGGGAATTCCATCCGGGATATAGAAAGCTGCTGCATTTCCAGGATTCATCAGTTACCAGCCCGTTGCTCATGGTGCCGAGTATTCCAAAATTTCTTCCCACGTCTTTCCCGGCTACCAAAAGAACTCGTGTGTTTCCTGGTACTAGGTAGGTGGTGGGGTTTCCCCAATTACTGTTCGTTCCGAGGCTTTGACCATCAGCAAACGTTTCCATTGAATTGTCACAAGTGAATGTTGCATTGAACTCTAAAAAGAAGAACAAATGTTTTGTTGTTCAGCGCAGTTGTAATGACAGCATTGTATAATACATGAGCAGGAGTGTTTTTTTCTATCTTAAAACAAGCTGCAGGCAAATATCTTTCATTTCTGACTTAATATAATGTTTAGCCAATGCCACTTCCCTTCAATAGTTCTTTATTGATGTCTGTGAAATTCATACTATAGTCCGTCGTACAAATCATGCAAATACCAAGGTCTGACAATTTCATGTCAAGGTCATGTTAGGGTTCGTGAGCTCAAACCATGCAGGATCAAATTGCGACTGCTTTTTTTACTTTGTTGTGTCAGTAAAACGAAACCAAAACCCGCGAAAGGTTTTTTTCATGTTAAAACATTGCACTGTTTGCATAAAACTGAATTTTTACCAAACTTAAGATAGCAACAAGGATTGAGGTAATAATGTCGTCACTCTACTCCAAGATGACGTCACAGTCATCATCAGGTTAAAAAGTTCGCCGCCATCTTAGAGAATGAGGTGCATTAGAGTTGCGCAGTGAAAAACAGAGGAATGACCGGAGTTGTGCTCTAAAATATATAGAGGATATTACACGGTGGCGAGAAGATATGAATTTTATGTTCGAGTGGCAAGAACATAAAATTCATATCTTCGAGCCAGCGTGTAATGTTCTTTTTATTATATGGAGAAACCAATTCAACAAAAGCAAAAGGCGGGAATCGTGACGTCATTGAACGATACGACACTCACAAAGGTGACATACGGAAAATACGCCACTCGGGTCCCGGATGAAGTGGCGTATGGAATCTACGAGTGGTTTAGTTCCCAGTAAAACACTCTCCTCCATATAATAAAAAGAACAAAGGCAACAAACAAGGGAGCGTATGACTTGCAGCTGCTTGTACGTCTGAGGGTAACTATTGGCAACTAAAACAGCCAAAACAGTTGCGATTGGCGTGAAAAATTAAAATCCGTTGAACCTGTGATTCCTACATGACTACGAGCTTTAACTTACCCGGTTGGTAGTTTTCCCCGTTGATCGGTAGTTTAGTGGGGCGAGGTAAAGCTTCTCTTCCTTGTTCAAAACAGCAGGAAGCTCCATTATAGCATCTGGTCATCAAACAGCCCTGAAAAATGTCGGCAACTCGTTACCTCTTCACGATTAAAACTGTCAAAGGTTTGAACCCAGGAGTCATTTCAAAAGTAGGTTGAGTGTGATCGTTCGGGTGAACGTTGTCCTGAATAGGACTGTTGTTGTTGACAGTGACTGACGTTTCGACAACCCGTGCGGTAGTCATCTTCAGAGTCAAAGTGAGTTGTATCACGTCAAGTCACCATTGTTAGCCGTCGACAGCCACGTTGAAATAAGCACTCGGACAGACTGATTGCTCTGTTTTTCCGTTTGCCGTAACTCTAGTCTGTTGCTGCTACTTCTGTAATTGAGTCACATATTGTTCCCTTTTTTGTGCAGCAAATTCAATACACAATGAGAAAATTGTCGAAAACGTCGTTCGAGAAAAGGCGATGTTGATTGGTTGGGTCTTTCCAGGACAAGTACCCAGAGAGATTCCTATTTGAATATTAAGGTTCTCAGACGAAAAAAATCTGTCTTTCTTTAGCTTTCTTTTGAGTCATTTCACTTCACGATTGTACCCGTTACTGCAAAAGGAAGAAGGCAAAAAAGAAAAGTTAACATTGTTAAATCTTTACTGATTTCAATTGAATTTGCTATTTAAAACGGTAAATCAGTAGTAAAAGAGATTTAAACGGGGTCATTAATTCTACCTATTATTTATAAGAGAACTTCTCTGTTTTACCTTGAGCACCAGTGCAAAAGTACTGCCTGCTTTATCAGTGAGCTGGGTCTCGTCATTTAATGGAGAGAATTCGTGCCTGTTCAATTCACAATTTCCTTTACTAGTCTTTCCAAAGGACTCTTGAAAGTTGGTAGAGGTACACCATAAGTGCTTCAAACATGTCTGACTACATGACAAGAGGCTGGGCGAATCAATTGTCCTGACTGATTTGCCTTCTAAGCGCTTATTGTTCCTACTTATGAAGTAGGCAGATCTATTGTTTCCCGCTTCGGCTGCGAAAGCGACAGTACCTAGTACGCAACACAGACCAATTGACCATGAAATCATCTTTGGACACTTCTAGCTTTCAGCGTGACATTCGTCTGACGAATATTCTGAACGATTTGGACACTTGCCGAATAAATTAAACTGGTAGATCTTGATAGGCAAGTTATAATTTCTCCAATCTTTAGCGCCGCTGCTTGCCTAGTGGTGCTAATAAATAAATAGAGACGCTTATCTTGCTGTATTACCTTATGTGAGCTTGTATACAATACAGTTTAATTAGTCTCCCCCAGCCCCAAGTCGACTTTCCTGCTAGCAGAGTTGCTTCGATCTTTCCTATACAAATCGACCATCTCCAAAACCGAAATAATAATTATCATGAAATAAAATAACAACGAGCGAAATGTTTTTAATCAAATTAAATCAATGGTAAGGCAAAGTAAACTTCGATTTTTCAAAACAAACAAAAAAGAGAAAAATCATCGTCAGAATTGTGACCTTTTCACAAAATACCAAACTGATAACCTCGGAGAAAAGATAATGAGATTATTTCGTCTCGAACGCCGAGGCCGGATAAAGGGAACTGATTTTTGGCGGTAATAAATATGGCATCTGATTTTTTGAAAATCTTGCTCTATCAAAACACAAGGATCTAGTAAAAATTCGGCGTTTAAAAAAAGTTGATATGTACTACCTACTGGCGTGAATGAAAGAATATCCTTTATTTAAACACAATCAGTATTAAAGCAGTACAACTTCTTGATGTGTCGTGATACAGGACACAAGCTTTGCTACAGCCTTAAAATATTCTTAGATCACGCTTCCTTTGTGAGAAAAGGCTTAAAATTTCAGTTTGAAAACACAAAAACAGAAACAAAACAAAACAGCCTAAAGCTATTTAACATAAATTGCTTTAACAATGCACAAATTATAGCTGGTATTTAGTACCCCAATAGGATGTGCAGTAATGGACAGATAGATAAATCGTTTATTGTATAAATACTTTGCAGTCGTAAAACAGAATTGCTTATTTTACAAATAATATTAGTTAAAATATAAAACTAATTACAATCATATGAGTCACTGGATAATATAAACGGTACAAAATTGATTGCTTTATATATATTAGTATATTTGTGATTTACAGTTAAAATAAACACGTTGACGTAAGTCTTTGTAAATAAAAGTTGGATAAGTGATAACAGCTTCGATCAGAGCACCTGCTTGTATAAAGATTCCTTAGAAACTGCACTGATCAGTATCGGACAACATCGTTAGTCAGACAATGGTTTTAAAAAAGGTTTAATAATCTCGAAATATTTGCATGGTGAAGGTGTGTAGCAAGGATTGGGAAGGTGTAGAATTGAAAGAAGCCCCTTTTTAGATAACCTTCTGGGGCGAGCAGGTAAGGAAAAACTACTAATATTACATGTATTTCAGGCAAGTACATGTACTTGCTTGCACGATTAGCCAAAACAGTAGAGTTGAAAGACCTCGAGCATCCTTAACATCAAACCCTTGAAAAATATTTTAAAGATGTTTATGAGCAAATTTCATGATTACTTTGCATTGATAAGATACAGTCGAACCTCCTCGGCTACCTCCTGCTGTCGTAAGAGATCTTTATACAAAATTCAGCTCCCGTATCCTTGTTCTGGGTCTCCACCGGATTCAACGAGTTACTGGAATTCGTTGGGTATTTCCCTTGAATCTGATTGGCAAATTGACCATACCTTTTTTAACAGGCCAGACATACGCGTACTCAAATCCTGCTACACAACCAACACCACCACTTTCTGGGGTGATGGTGTAGTAATTTTCTATTCTTCTTAACCTCTTGTTAGGGACACTTTACCATGGTCTGATCTTTACGTTCCCATCTCTCTCCGCTGGAGAGTCTCCCGCAGGGTATCCCTAGTAAAATAGCAATAATCGAACAATAGGCAACGGTGCATGGGACGATTGGAACAGGCAAGGCTATTAAACGCAGCCACAAATAAACAGTGCGGTCACATTTTAGAGCACTGAGCGCGGGTTTATATTTGCTTTTCAGGGAGGACATTAACCGTGCTTATCGTAGGTTAGCTGTGTTAATACACCCTGATAAAAGTCTGGCACCCGGCACAGAAGAAGGGTTCAAAGCACTGGTGAATGCTCGCGCAGCCCTTTTACAGTCTCACAGATAACACCAGCAGTGTCTGAGAACATATATGTATTTATTTTACTGTCGCACCCGACTCATCCTCAGTTTTCTCCTAAGATTTCTATATTGGAGTCTTTTAAGACGAGGAGGACGTGATTTGACTTAGTGTTTCCGCGTCTTCTCAAAAAAAAAAAAAACAGACAGTAAAGCTTAGTTGTAGCTTTTTCTCTAGAAAGTTAGCCCTCTCCAGACGGCAAAATGATAAAGCGTCTAACATCTGATAACTTGTTTCGGCCGCTACGCCATCAAAACCGTATTCATAGAATGTCGACTGCTATCGGTTTTCCCCGCCAAACTGGCCATGGTTCTCGCGCGCGCCACGAAGTATTGAGACAATTTCGTCATCTAAGCCCTCGTCTAAAGAGTCTAAAGCTCCCTATACTTGGAGAAGACCAGCACAGTAGCTCAACGAAGAGACCGACGAGAGGGAAGCAGAGAAAGAGCATCCCCTGCTTTCATACATTGTATACGCGCTACCCACGTTAGTATTTTAACGCGACGATTAGTAGGAGACGGGGTGTGGATGAGTGAGCTGTAAAGCAGATTTTAACTGACTTTCGAAAAACCAAACCAACACCAGTGTGAATACCTTACGTTAACCATCTGCAGCTACAAGGGGTATAAACGCAAGCTGGATCAAGCGTGGGAAGATACCTGTGAACAAGTTACAATTTGTTTTGGTTTTTCTTCTAATTGGGTGTAAAAGTGAATTACTTTGCCCAATTAAAGTAGACGCAGGTAATCAAATGAACCAAACACAAGTAGACCTGGAGGCGACCTCGCTCTCAGTCTCTCCTCGTCGCTCCGGGGACGGGTAGCAGAAAGCCTTGGGAACGGGCTTGACATGAAAGTAGCCTAGGCTTCGTGAAGTAGTTATTATGATTTTGATTCTATATCTTTCTTTACAGATGTATTTTAACTGTACATAATGTGGATACTTTTGTTACGTATAAAGTTTACAACTTGTAAAACTGTCTTTTAAAACGTTTTTTATTCTTAATATTTTGCATTTCGTTTTCGTAATTATAAGTTGTTACATTACATGCGCTTTGTATTGGTTGCATTTGTATTTAAAGTATTCGCCACCGTTAGTAAATAGCTACATTAAAAAATAGCTGGGAACGAAAATGTATTGCCTACACGATACCTTAGTGTTCCAGGTTATTGTGAACAATCGAAAACGGTGTGTTTGTTGTTGACGTTGTGATTTTGATGCGTGAACGAATTCGAGAACTGATATTTTTTTGCTCATGGGCGGGGCCTAAATGCATTTTTTGAAGAACGAGTTTGCACATGGTGTACTGACAAAGACGGGCTAAAAGTTAATTTAGATTCAGTCTGCAATAGGCAGTGTCGCTTTTGTTGTTAGCCCATATCCACTTGGCTGCCGTTGCGATACCATTTATTGTATTCCAAGGATTGTCGCCATGGTTTACAATAACGTTTGCAGAATGCCAGCCCTGGTCATCAAAATCCGGGGAATTCCATCCGGGATACAGAACGCTGCTGCATTTCCAGGATTCATCACTTACCAACCCGTTGCTCATGGCGTCGAGTATTCCAAAATTTCTTCCCACGTCTTTCCCAGCTACCGAAAGAACTCGTGTGTTTCGTGGTACTAGGTAGGTGGTGGGGTCTCCCCAGTTACTGTCCTTTCCGAGGCTTTGACCATCACCAAAGATTTCCATTGAATTGCCACAAGTGAATGTTGCATTGAACTCTAAAAAGAAGAACAAATGTTTTGTTGTTCAGCGCAGTTGTAATGACAGCATTGTATAATACATGAGTAGGAGTGTTTTCTTAGATCTTAAAACAAGCCGCAGGCAAATATCTTTCATTTCTGACAATATATAATGTTTAGCCAATGCCACTTCCCTTTAATAGTTGTTTATTGATGTCTTTGAAATTCATACTATAGTCTGTCGTACAAATCATGCAAATACCAAGGTCTGACAATTTCATGTCAAGGTCATGTTAGGGTTCATGAGCTCAAAGCATGCAGGATCAAAATTGCGACTGTGTTTTTACTTTTTTGTGTCAGTAAAACGAAACCAAAACCCGGGAAATGTTTTTTCATTTTAAAATATTGCACTGCTTGCATATAAAACTGAAGTTTTACCAAACTTAAGATAGCGACAAGGATGGACGTAATAATGACGTCACTCTGCTCCAGGATCGTCACAGTTATCATCAGGTTAAAAAGTTCGCCGCCATCGTAGAGAATGATGCGCATTAGAGTTGCGCAGTGTAAAACAGAGGAATGACTGGAGTTGTGCTCTAAAATATTCTAAAATGTAGAGAACAAAGGAAACGAACAAGGGAGCGGATGGCTTGCAGCTGCTTGTACGTCTGAGGGTAACTATCGGCAACTAAAACCGCCAAAACAGTTGCGATTGGCGTGAAAAATTAAAATCCGTTGAACCTGCGATTCCTACATGACTACGAGCGTTAACTTACCCGGTTTGTACTAGTTTTCCCCCTTTTCCCCATTGATCGGTAGGTTAGTGGGGTGAGGTAAAGCTTCTCCTCCTTGTTCAAAACAGCAGGAAGCTCCATTATAGCATCTGGTCATCAAACAGCCCTGAAAATGTCAGCAACACGTTACCTCTTCCTTCCTTATTACCTCTTCACGACTTAAACTGTGAAAGGCTTGCACCCAGGAGTCATTTCAAAAGTAGGTTGAGTGTGATCGTCCGGGTGAACGAAGTCCTGAATAGGACTGTTGTTGTTGACAGTGACTGACGTTTCGACAACCTGTGCGGTAGTCATCTTCAGAGTCAAAGTGAGTTGTATCACGTCAAGTCACGATTGTTAGCCGTCGACAGCCACATTGAAATAAGCACTCGGACAGACTGATTGCTCTGTTTTTCCGTTTGCCGTAACTCTAGTCTGTTGCTGCTGCTTCTGTAATTGAGTCACATATTGTTCCCTTTTTTGTGCAGCAAATTCAATACACAATGAGAAAATTGTCGAAAACGTCGTTCAAGAAAAGGCGATGTTGATTGGTTGGGTCTTTTCTGGACAAGCACCCAGAGAGATTCCTATTTGAATATTAAGGTTCTCAGACGAAAAATTCTGTCTTTCTTTTGAGTTATTTCACTTCACGATTGTGCCCGTTACGGCAAAAGGAAGAAGGCAAAAAAGAAAAGTTAACATTGTTAAATCTTTACTGATTTCAATTGAATTTGCTATTTAAAACGGTAAATCAGTAGTAAAAGAGATTTAAACGGGGTCATTAATTCTACCTATTATTTCTAAGAGAACTTCTCTGTTTTACCTTGAGCACCAGTGCAAAAGTACTGCCTGCTTTATCAGTGAGCTGGGTCTCGTCATCAAATGGAGAGAATTCGTGCCTGTTCAATTCACAATTTCCTTTACTAGTCTTTCCAAAGGACTCTTGAAAGTTGGTAGAAGTACACCATAAGTGCTTCAAACATGTCTGACTACATGACAAGAGGCTGGGCGAATCAATTGTCCTGACTGTTTTGCCTTCTAAGCGCTTATTGTTCCTACTCATGAAGTAGGCAGATCTATTGTTTCCCGCTTCGGCTGCGAAAGCGACAGTACCAAGTACGCAGCACAGACCAATTGACCATGAAATCATCTTTGGACACTTCTAGCTTTCAGCGTGACATTCGTCTGACGAATATTCTGAACGATTTAGACACTTGCCGAATAAATTAAACTGGTAGATCTTGATAGGCAAGTTATAATTTCTCCAATCTTTAGCGCCGCTACTTGCCTAGTGGTGCTAATAAATAAATAGAGACGCTTATCTTGCTGTATTACCTAATGCGAGCTTGTATACAATACAGTTTAATAGTCTCCCCCAGGCCCAAGTCGACTTTCCTGCTAGCAGAGTTGCCTCGATCTTTCCTATACAAATCGACCATCTCCAAAACCGAAATAATAATTATTATGAAATAAAATAACAAGGAGCTTGTATACAATACAGTTAGTCTCCCCCAGCCCCAAGTCGACTTTCCTATACCAGCAGAGTTGCTTCGATCTTTCTTATACAAATCGACATCTCCAAAACCGAAATAATAATAATCATGAAATAAAATAACAAGGAGCAAAATGATTTTAATCAAATTAAATCAATGGTAGGACAAAGTAAACTCTAATTTTTCAAAACAAACAAAAAGGGGAACTATCATTGTCCGAATTGTGACTTTTTCACAAAATGCCAAACTGATAACCGCGGATAAAAGATAATGAGACAAGTTCCTTTCGGCCACCGAGGCAGGATAAAGGGAACTGATTTTTAGCGGTAATAAATATGGCATCTGATTTTTGAAAATCCGGCTCTATCAAAACATAAAGATCTTGTTAAAATTCGGCGTTTAAAAAAAAGTTGATATGTACTACCTACTGGCGTGAATGAAAGAATATCCTTTATTTAAACACAATCAGTATTAAAGCAGCAGAACTTCTTGATGTGTCGTGATATAGGACACAAGCTTTGCTACAGTCTAAAAATATTCTTAGATCACGCTTCCTTGGTGAGAAAAGGCTTAAAATTTCAGTTTGAAAACACAAAAACAGAAACAAAACAAAACAGCCTAAAGCTATTTAACATAAATTGCTTTAACAATGCACAAATTATAGCTGGTATTTAGTACCCCAATAGGATGTGCAGTAATGGACAGATAGATAAATCGTTTATTGCATAAATACTTTGCAGTCGTAAAACAGAATTGCTTATTTTACAAATAATATTAGTTAAAATATAAAACTAATTACAATCATATGAATACAAATACTTGTGCAGTAAAGCTAAAAAATATGTATAAAAATCTTACAATAAAGTCGACTTCTTTGAAACTTTAAGAGCTTTATGCACAACCCTGGGACAGCATAAACAAAAGAGCGTCTGAAACGTTCCGTATGGGAACGTGGCAAATTATATAACTTTTGAAGCCTTAAATTATCGCTCGATTGTTTTCTTGGTGGCAGCAGGTGGTATAACTTATGTCCGGGATTGATAGCAATGGAATCGAACAATTGTCGACATAGTCCGTTGCATCTATCATATAGCGTTGGCAGGCCAAGGCTGTCAAGGCATTCCCGATATGACATGGCTGGTGAAATTATGGAAAGCGCTCTTTTCTGAATTCTTTCTATATCCTCATTTAGATAAGTCGGGAGTGCGTGATGGAAAACCGGAGCGCAGTATTCTAGTACAGGTCTGATTGTTGTACAATAGAAATTCACAATGTCATTAAGGGGAACACGAGCCCTTTTCAAGAGAACAATGAAATACAGGCGCTTATTTGCTTTCTCAACTAATGCAATCTACAATGTGATTGTTCCATTTCAAGTCACTGGATAATATAAACGGTACAAAATTGATTGCTTTATATATATTAGTATAATTGTGATTTACAGTTAAAATAAACACGTTGACGTAAGTCTTTGTAAATAAAAGTTGAATAAGTGATAACAGCTTCAGAGCACCTGCTTGTAAAGATTCCTTAGAAACTCCACTGATCAATATCGGACAGAATCTTTAGTCAGACAAAGGATTTTAAAGAAAGTTTAATTATCTCGAAATATTTGCATTGTGAAGGTGTCTTGCAGGATTGGGAAGGTGTAGAATTGAAAGAAGCGCCTTCTTAGATAACCTTCTCTAGCCTGTTCACAGACCCTCTATCTTCTCTTCAAAGTCCGTCAAGCGCGTGATAAAAAACAATAACCGCGGGAAACTTATTGACCGCCAGCGCAATCTACATTATTGGCCCATATCCACTAAGCCAGGGTCGTAACATGGTATATTCGGGACCCATTTATCCCTATTTTCTTGCCGTTGTTTTGATCCCTGAGCCCCATTTTCCGCAAAATTTTGATCCCTGAGCCCTGAGAAAAAAATTGATCCCATCCAAGTTTTTACACAAAATTTTAACTTAGGCAACTTTGTTTATCTCCAAATATAGAATATAGGACGTGCTCAAATGGGCTAATGAGAAAAACATTAACTTTAATTTTTAGTACAAGTTGTAGGTTCTATCAGAGCTTTCTATTCTGCTATCCCTGTTGATGTTGTCAGTAGTCTTATGTGAATTTCCTCTTTCACTCTGTGTATGTTACAGTGACGATCACGATCAATTACCAATAGCAAAATACCTACTTTACATTAAGTAAAAAATTAAATGAAGCCACAGGTTCTACAGTTTAACAGCTTTTTTGTGTCAAGCCCATTAATGGCTTTTCCTGGCTTAATAACCATTGCAGATTGTTGGAGGACATATCTGGTTGTAGGTCTTCCAGACCTACTCCTTCCAGCTTCAAATCTAATTGGCTCTGAAAAGTTGTCCGCCTGGGCTTGCTCCCCTTCCTCTTCGTCACCACCTGACGCAGGTGAATCATCTGATTCAACTGACCCCTGGAGCAATGCAACTAGGCGTTGCTCTTCATGGCAGCTCAAACAGAAGTTGTTTCCATCTTTTATTATTTAAACGTTCCCGATGATACAGTTAGGTGAATTTCTATCGTCACGGTGCCCAGTCTGGTATACAAGGGGATTTTCTGCTGACTGTTCCAGCCATCTCAAACCCATGTGATCTTCCAGGAATGCGTCACCGTTATGGTGGAGATCCTTTAAAAGAACTGCAAGGAGGAGAGGAATGATACACCTCTTGTAATTGTGCTTAAGAGCAACTACGTCGCGTTTGGAATAGATAATCTC